CAGCCATCATTGTTGTTTGGCGGGCCCGGGCTGGGGATTCGAACCCGCCACCTTAGGTGTATGTGGCTGGCGCGTTAGCCGCTTGAGCCACAGGCGCCGAGCCTGAAGTGACAACCTTAAGACTAGTTAAAAACATTCTGAGTCAGAGTGAAATCTTCAGATAGGTCTTTTCTAACTAATTATTTAAAACTGCATGTCCATTACTTATGCATTCCTTTTACTTTATGGTACTTATTACGTTCATATTTATTCTATGTATTTTCCCTGTTGAAAACTAGAATGAAAGTTCCATAATAGTAGAGATTTTGATCTGTTTGTTCATTGCTGTATACTCAGTTTCAAGAATAAGTACCTAGTATAAAGTAGCCAGTAAATAAAAGTTGTTGAATAAATGAATTGACCTCTAAGAGAATGAAAATTGAGAACTGAAACTGATGAATATATTACAGAATTTCAGATTGTCATTTGCTGAATTTGGTTTTCAGAGAATCTTTAATAGCAACTAGAAAAAAGCATAGATTTATAAATGTGTAGTTTTTAATTCTGTAAAGCTCCAGACTCAACTCTATAATTTTTTCACATTTTCCTTCAACTTTGTTTTTCCCAAGTTTTAGAACTATACTATTTTTATAAAATGTTTGTTGAAGAATAAAAAGAAGGATAATATACTTAGGTTGATTTAGAAATTTTAACTTATATTAGTACTTAATCATTGTTAACAAGCATGTGTTGTGAATATGTCTATCAGGAATTTGCTTTTTCACCCTTGCTTTTATTAAAATTAAACATATTTTAATATTAAAAAATTAAGAAAATGAGATCATGTATGTAAAGCCTTAATAACAAAGTAAATACTAATGAGTACAAAAATTATAGTAATTGTTAAATGTCTTAATTTTTATTAAATGTCACAGATATAGATATAACAAATTATTTGTTTATTTTTCCAATCAATGAGAATAATTGAATTTTATTAACAAAAGCTGAACTTCAAACAGCAAAAAGAGTGATTTAGATGATCCAGAGCACAGTTATCTGATCTGAATTTGAAGTCACCAGGAATTGCATCACACTGTTAGAGTTCATGGATGGCAAAAGTATGTGTCTTACTTTTTTAGAGATTTCATTTGCAATATCACTTCATTCAAAAGAAAGAAATAAAAAGTAAAAAACCATCTGTAATGAGTTGAATTAGAAACAGTATGGTTGGGAGTAAAAGACAGATTGTCATTTGCTGACTTTGGAATGGAAGGAATATGCATTTCCATTTTTATACCTCCCAGAAACTCAGTGAAAGATCAGAGAAGTGAGATTAGAGAACAGACATCAGTACAATTTTAGGAAATGGATAATATATGAATAATTGAAAAGTAAACTCCAAACTCAGTAGCAGAAGAAATAAAACAACTTTCAGAGGCCTCAAAAAGCTCAAGAATGACAGGCTGTGGAAATGGAGGTGAAATGAGTTAAGCCTTTATATATTCCAGGCAAGAGGTTGAAAAAGTTTTTTCTGGGGAATCTGACAAAAAAGAAAAATGAAAGAAGAAAAAAAAGTTCATCAGAGATTCCTTAAATAAACAGTCCAATTAGATCACTCCATGTATCAGAGTTCCCGATCAGCTTTTTAGTCCTCTGTCCTTAAATATGAGCAGCTAACCAAGGATTCCTAGATATTTACTCTAATGTATGAAAGATAGAAGTTAAAATAAACAGAGTAAAACAACCTGGAGAGAACATAAATTTTGCAGGGCAAAATAATAGAACTATTATTATCCTCATAGAAACGAGAGAAAATAATACAGCCATGAAACAAAAAGGAGGTACTATAAAAGAGTGACATTGTGGCTTTTTAAAAAGGCTTCTAAGCATCAAGATTCTGACAGCAGAAATCAAAGGTTTCATAGACTATTCGAGGTTAATGTTGAAGGAATCTCTAAAAAAGTGTGGCAAAAAGATAAAAATTATAGAAAAGAAGTAAATAGTGTTAAGAAACTTAACAGGACCAATCCAGGAATTCAATATTCAAGTAATAGTCGTCTCAAAAGAACAGAGAAAATGGAGAAAAACATCACCAAAATGACTCAAAAGAATTTTGTTAATGGAAGAACACGAGGTTTCCTCATTGAAAAGGCTCACTGAGTGAACCTGAAGTTCCCTCATTGAATAGGCTCACTCAGAGCTCAGTACAGTGGATGAAAATAGACACAAACTAAGGCACATTGTGGTGAAATTTGAAATCACTGGAACCAAACATGTTTCATGCTTCTAGAGAGAAAAAGAACTTGTCATAAACAAAGTAACAGACATTAAGTTGGGTTTGGACTTCTCGGTGGTAACATTGGAAATCAACTGAAAAGTAAAGGATCATCTTCAAAATTCTGAAGGAAAATAATTCAGCCTTTAAATTTCATATGCATTGAAATTATTGATCAAGTGTAAGAATGGAATTAAGATGTTTTAAGACAAATTCTCAAAAATAATCTACCTACCTTATTTATTTCCTTAGGAATCTAGTAGAGGATATGATCCAGGAAACATAAAAAGTCAGACAAATATGAAAAAGAAATGGATTATAGGAAATTGGAAATTCAGTATAGCAGAAAGGTCCTTCAGGATGACAGTGAAAAGATAGGGACTAGGCTACTAGTCCAGATTGGAACAGATAAGAAACCTCCAGGAGAGTCTTCGTCAGGAAAATGATATTGATAGAAACCTGATATAATTATCTTTTTTTTTTTTTTTTGCAGTTTTTTTTTTTTTTGGCTGGGGCCAAGTTTGATCTCACCACTTATGGTATATGGGGCTGGCACCCTGTTCCTTTGAGCCACAGGCACCTCCCCTGATAAATTATCTTTAGAGAAGTTTTATACAAGTGACAAATGGCACAGGGTTGAATTGATAAATATGTAAGATAATAAGCAAAAGAAAATTCTGAACTCCAAGGAGAACAAATAATGTGTACGAAAGGATAATAAATCCTCAGTCCTTTAGCAGAGCCCAGAGTATCTGACATCCAAGCCAGTTACCTCCTGATAAGGTAGAAAACCTTATCAGATTACTTCGATGTGTCTTACACGTATTTTCATTATCTATTTGATTTGGACCATTATGTTAGGGAAACAATATTCTGAAGGAAGGCCTGTGGCCAAATTTGGCCTGTGTCCTGTTTTTGTATGGTTAATGAATTTGATTTACTAAGAATTAATTTTTTTTTTTTGCATCTATATTCACACAGAATTCTGAGCTTTAGTTTTCTTACTTTATGATGTCTCAATCTGGTTTCAGTATCGGGTAATGCTGGCCTCTTAGAGTAAGTTGGAAGTTTATGGGACATTTCCTTCTCTTTTTGTAGAATTGATAATTATTTCATCTTTACCTGTTTGGCACAATTTCTCAGAAACCATCTGGTCCTGGAATTTCTTTGTTGGGGAGTTTTAAAATACTAATTTCACACTGTTGCTTATGCCTGTAATCCTAGCACTCCAGGAGGCCAAGGTGGGTGGATCACTTGAGCTCAGGAGTTCGAGACCAGCCTGAGTAAGAGTGAGAACCCATCTCTACTAAAAATGAAAAAACTGAGGCAAGCGGATCACTTGAGCCCAAGATTTTGAGGTTGCTGTGAGCTACAATGCCATGGCACTCTACCAAGGGTGATAAAGTGAGACTCTCTCTCAAAAAAAAAATAAAATAAAATAAAATACAAATTCAATTTATTTAACAAATATAGGACTATTTTTTGAGAAGCATTGTAATGTCTGTAGGATTGATCTATAGTAATGTCAGCGGTCTTATTCTTGATATTGGTAATTTGGGTATTCTTTCTCTTTGTCCTGATCATGGACAGAGATTTATAAATTTTGTAGCTCTCAAAGAACCAGTTTCTGTTTTATTTTATGTATTGCTTTCCTGTCTTCTATTTTATTAATTTCTATTATTGCTTTGTTCTTTATTATTTACTTTCTTCTGCCTTCTCTGGGCTTAATTTTCTCTTCTTTCTCTTGTTTTTTAAGGTAAAACCTGAGACAATTGCTGTGGCAACTTTATTTTTTAATATAGGAATTTAGTGCTATAAATTTTCTCCTTGGTACTTGCTTTCGCTGTGTTTTGTAGATTTTATAAGTAATATTTTAATTTTCATTAGCTCAGAATAGCCTTTGATTTCTTCTTTAAGCCATTTGTTCTTATTTAGAAGTGTGTTGATATAGTTTCCAAACATGGGGAATTATCTAGATACATATCTTTCTCTTATTTATTCCTAATTTAATTTCATTGTGGTTAGAGAGCATACTTTCTATGACTTGAATCATTTTAAATTTATTAAGATTTGTTTTATGGCCCAGGAAATGGTCTATCTTAATGTTTTGAGTACACACTTTAAAAGAATGAGTATGCTGCTGCTTCTCTCGGCTTGGTCTGTCAATTATCA